ACTCTGTGATTTTATACTTAGTGGCGTATTTACTCAGCAGCTGTAACCCTCCATGTGTGCCCTATCTGGGCATGTACCTGACGGATTTGGCGTTTATCGAGGAGGGAACGCCCAACTTCACAGAGGAGGGTCTCGTCAACTTCTCTAAAATGAGGATGGTATTTAAACAGTTCTTCAGCTTGTGGTGTTTGTAGGACGTCAAATCTCAGGATTTCAAAAGACATCAGTGAACCTGTCTTCAAATGTCTGTTTGTTGTTTTTCACAGATCTCACACATAATACGAGAGATCCGACAGTTTCAGCAGGCGCCCTACAGGATTGATCTGCAACCCAAGGTACCATCTGAATGTACAGTGATATTATGGAACAAGTAGATAAAGAATTGCTTTAGGCGAAGTGCACACTTCAAGACAGAAGCTCATTGCTCATGCACAACTTTTAACCCTGTAAAACCTGACATGTGAAATAATTGTTATTTTTTGGACTTGAATTTTATTCAGAGACACAAACTTAGTAAAATATGCAGTTTGGTGCAGATGCTGATTATTTATATGATCAATGAGATCTTTATAACAGTACAGCAGATACTTACATAAAATGATATAAATATCAGTGGTCACTCCAATATATCTCCAATAATATGTCTTAGTAAGACAAGATTTAAATGATCCAAACATTTAATGCAATGCAATCCAATGCTGATTGAGAGATGAAGAAATAAAGGCTCCTCAGAAGATGTGAGATGTTCTGGAGGCTTGTGAAGATCATTCCTCCGCTGAGGAACAGTGAAAGTAAAGCTTCTGGAAACAAATGTTTCTCAAAACATCCTGATGATCAGATTTGAGACGCACTGATTTTTCAAAAAAAAAATTTGATGGAGAATCAAGTAAAGCTGAGCTGCTTCAGTCCAGTAAGTGTTCATCTGGAAATATTGCTTCAGTTATTCTTACATTTACTTTATAAAAATCAGTCAAGATTTGACAGCAGAAAGACTCGTGAAGCTCCAGCTGAAGCTGGACGTTTGTACAATTACACTAAAAGAGCTTTTACTTGCTAAAAAAGTCTAAACTATCAATCAGACGACAGAAGGCATGGAGTAGATTGAGTGTGACAGGTTCAACAGTAAAGTTTTGATCATGTTGAACATTTAGAAACCTTAGAAATTTGCATATCAAATATGATACAGTAGCTTTATAGGTTTAAAAGACAGACTTTGCAGTTGGTTCTCAATTTATGTAACGTATCACTGTTTTTCTCTCAGGTAACACAGTTCCTCCTCGACAAGACTCTTGTAATGGACGAGGACACACTTTATGAATTATCTCTTAAGATTGAGCCAAGACTCCCTCCTGCCAACTAAACCTAATGATAATGTTTACAACCAGACTCAGATATCAAAAAAACTTTTTATAGTCAGTTTGTGGGAATCTAAACTTGCATCTGAACTGAAGTCTGTCCACTATAGAAACGACAACCTATCCATATATTACTTTCATTCAATTTTGTATCATCTTTTTTTTTTTTTTTGCTGTAAACTCAGGTTTAAATGTGCCTTTTTGTAAATATGATGTACAGTTTCATAGTGCATATTTCTAGCATGATGCATTTTAATAATTTGATATTTTTTTTACCTGAATGCACAATATCAGTTAAAGTCTGATCATTCCTTTACTATAATGAGAATGTGTATGTGCAAACATATGTTCAGATGTCAAAAATGTGTGTGATTTGATGTTCGCTGGTCCAATTTTGACAAGCAAGTTTCTCAGTCAATCTGCCCGCATGTATGACAGTCATGTCAGTACTTTGATCCACTGGAGTTCGCTGAAATGTCAAAGCTCAACCAAGCACGTTTACGGTTTAGCAAAAGAAATATATTTTTACATTTGTCATTTGTTAATATTAGGTGTCATCTGTTTACACAGCATGTTGCAATGAGGCTGCATTTGCTCATTTAGCATGTTTCTGTTTGTAGAATTTTTTTGATATTTTCTGGCATGTGTGTGCATGAATCTGTACTTAATCATATTCTTAATTCTTCTTTAAAACATTTTTGTCTCTAACTTTTGGATTAACAATAGCAGATTTGAAGCATTTGTTACATATATTCTACACTTCAGAAATACTGTGATGGTACCATGAAACAGTGACTTTTGTACACTTTTGTACTGATTTATTACCATATCTGTGTACTATGGTATTATACACCTTACTCCATACTATGTTATGTGCAGAAAAGATACTTTTTGGCTGATGCAGAAGAAGTGGTTTATTGTTGATTTTGATATGAGCAGGGAATCATTCACTAGTTTACAGTTTTTGGTTGTTTTCATAAAGTTTACTCCACCCAGCTGTATCATGACAGTAATTCAATTTTACACAAATGTTTAAGTGGGCATTTAAGTCTGTTTTTGTACAAAGAGAAATAGTTGTTGTTTAATTCAAACATAGATTCAGCACAGTGTCCTGTTTATTTAATTGGGTATATATTCATTTATTTTAACTTTTACCTGGAACTTATTGATGTTGTAAACATAGGCAGCCCTGCATTGTTGTTTTTTATTTAAATAATGCTGTTGACTCATGCACACTTTCTAAAGAAGGGTCTTTTTTCCATAATTGATTTCACATCTTTTTCAGTCAATGACATAAATGTTCTGTACATTTATCCATAATGTAGCTGTAACCTTTGAAATAAAATTTGTCTTATCTTCTGTATGGTTTGTTTTCCATTATGCATTCAAAAGATCATTTGTATAATCAACATACGTTTTTATCATTCTGGCTAGCTAGCTTGTCTGTGCAAGTTACTTGATAATGGGATTATTATTGTGATTTAAAGAAGTATTCTAGATGACCACTTGTCTATTCTAGATGTCGTTCGCAGAATCCATAAAATGTGACGTCACATTTTACACGCCCCGCCCACAACTGCTTACAGATACTGCCGTATTAGCGGAGACCCCGTCCTGAGTGAGCCGCACACAATCCATCATGTTTATCTTCACGCAATAGCATTTAAAAGCAGCGTTCAAGTAAGAAATGTCTTCTAATTAGAGCTACAGAAATAATTCATTCAAGAACAGTGAGTGATTTCTGCTTTTATTTTATTGTTTGGGTCATATTAAAGGGGTCATATGATGCGATTTCAAGTTTTCCTTTCTCTTTGGAGTGTTACAAGCTGTTCGTGAATAGATAAGATCCCTAAAGTTGCAAAGACTAAAGTCTCAAACCCAAAGAGATATTCTTTATAAGACTGGTCCACGCCCTCCTAAAACGCCTCGTTTAAACACACCCTCACAATGTTAACGTCACTGTGTGGGAAGATTTGCATAACACTGCCCAAATGTTCATGCAAAGAAAGAAGACGTAACTTTATTGTTGCTGCCACCGCCGCCGCTATGTTGTGAAGACGCTGTGTGTTTCGTTGTAAAAGCGAAAATACTTTGGCCTTCCAAAAGAGGACACGACTAGAAATCAGTGGTTAAGTTGTATTTACAACACTGTTCAAGAACAGTTCAACAGTTCAATCTGAACAAAGTATTCAGATGTGTGCAGTGCATTTTATGGAGGACTGTTTCCTGATTTTGTCATTTCTCCGATCACAAATGCAGACATGGTTTTATGTTTACGCGGCGCGATGCAATGCAACGCGTAAAAAGACCGTATAAGTCATTATAATCCGTAATTATGTCCCCACTGGATGCAACAAATACCTCGTTTATAATGGGTTTGAATGTTTTTGTCTCGTCCCTCCGGCCGGACAGGGCATCACAGTATGGTAGGGGCGTAACATTTCCGTCACACGCTTGAGGTATTTGGCCAATCACAACGCACTGGATAGCTGGCCAATCAGAGCACACCTCGCTTTTCAGACTGATGAGCTTTGTAAAAATTTACGCGTTTCAGAAAGGCGGGGCATAGAGGAGAAACAAAAATGTACAGTATGTGGAAAATGTGTTTTTTGAACCTTAAACTGCATGAACACATTTCATTACACCAAATACACAAAATAATGTTCTTTTTAGCAACATCATATGACCCCTTTAACACCGTAGACTGCTACAAGTAACTGTATATTTCGCTGCTGTCACTGGGGACACCTGAGACTTATATTACATCTTGTAAAAGGGGCATAATAGGTGCCCTTTAAAGAGCTGGTAGTGGTTATATTTAAGAGGCTGCATACAGTGCAAAATGTTGGACTATGGCGGAAAGTCTCAAGGACAAGCCGGACGACAGACATGGGTTATGACCTGGCACTTACGTGGAAGAGGATTGGCCATCAGGTCCACTTCTAATCCCATATCCTGGGAGGAGCGCCAGCCTCCCTCACAGACTGTGTGCTTCCTAACACAGCCTACTGTAACAGAGGAGACTCTACAGGTAAAACTCTCTTCCCTTATACTACTTACAAAAAAAAAAAAAAAACTTAAGCTAAGTTTGAGAATTAGGAATTCCCGTAACTGGTAAGAAATCATTAATTGCTTTCCATTAAATTGTAAATATTGAAAATGCTGGATGCAAAGTGGTAAGCCAACAATCAGCTGTTTTATTTGCTTGGATATTTACTTATTAACAAAGTGCAGTGTAGTGTATATTTGGTACAACTTTTAATTATTTTACTCATTTGATATACTTAAGTTGTATTGAATGACTGTAAAACAGATTGCAGATACCTATATAGGTTACTATTTCAGTAGGAAGCATTTGTTGGAATCACTGTGCCATCTTTATGGACATTAAACAGTATCTTATTTAGTGCTATTCTCCTAACATTCTGGACTAATCCTTGAGTTAAAAGCCTAGTAATCCCCCACAACTCCGCCGAGAGATAGACCTTAAACCTCGGTCAAGTGCTGACGGGCCACCTGCTTAGAAGTATCACAGAGTGTTCATGGTTTTGGTGTATAATGTAGATCTGAGTTCAAGCTGCCAGATTCTGGTTGGGTCTTGTATACGCTTGTGTGACCGGTTCAGAATGTCACAGCTTGAGCACGAGGCCTCAGGGTAGACTGGTGCCAGTTGGGGCTCCGTTCCAAACCCTTCATGTAGTCTGCTAGTCTATTAATAACACTTTTTTAGAGTTCCAGTTGCAGTGTCAAAACGACTTTGTCAAGGATGTCACCAAATGTTAAAGTTTAAGAATCTGCTGTGGAGAAACCATTATTGATTGACCAAATTTTGGGGTTCCAAATTGTAGAGGTGTATTTGAAATATATTTTAAGTGTTCCTTTGTTTGGCTTCTTTGACAAAATATTACAACATATTGTTTGGTTTAAACTATGCCTTATATTTAGAACAGTTCTCAGAAACATTATAAAGGTCCCTCCTTAACTGTTCTTTAGAAACTGGTGAAGGAAAATTAGTAAAAGAAAGTATTAGAGTTAATCAACCAGTCTCTTAAGAAGGTAACCAGTCAGAAACAAGTAAGCTGCCATCTTAAATCAGGTGATACTTGTCAGCTTAGGGCACCATCAACTAACACAAAGTTTAGTTTGATAGCTATAGTCTTAAAAAGAAGCTATGATCATTGTGAAAACCTTGCCACCTTGTTCTACCAGTGCTGATCCCGTCAGAACTGTTTGACAAGAAACGGTGTGAAGATGGCAAGCTCATTTGCCAAGGTGATGTCGAGCCGTACCACTGGCTTGCTCATGGCGAGCCTTGGGGCTGGTGCTGTGGCAACTGGTTACTTAATGAGCGATAATGCTGCCGTCTCTGCAGATCAGAGGAGGAAACTTTACCCTCCCAGGTAAGCACTGGAGGTGTGAGTACAATTACATCCCATTGATAATATTGCATGAAATACAGCTAGTCATTATTTAATAAATATCTAGACTTGCTTTATTGATTACCATTTGTCACTTAACACATTGCATATTTAGCAATCATGTCAGAATAAAATGCATGAGAATCTAAGAAGAAGGGTGAGTTACTTTCTATTCCATCAGCTTACTTGCACCTGTTCTGTAATGTAAAAAATATGATCAGACGTAGAGGTCATGATGTACTGTGTGATGAAGTATCACACGTTAACTGAGTGAAAGGTAAATGGGTGGGAACATGACACTTAAATAGCTTATGTCCCGTCCCGCATGTCACGACGCCAAAGATCAAATCAGATCAGCAGTCCAAGATTTAAGTTCCTTGAAGGAGCCAAATATGAAGAGAGTTACTCTTTTAGGGTGATCCAAAACCAACATCCTACACCTAAATTCACACTAAACCTTCAACCGAGAAATGATCAGTCAGTCTCCTGTTACAGTCCTATAGATTTTGGATTTAGGCCCGATTCACAAGAAGTTAATCTGCCCCAAATACCTTCCTCAAGCTTTGAGATCCTCTAAGTCCAGACTGACTTAATCCTGGATAGACTTTCGGGTAGTAGTACACTACAAAGTCCTCACTAGTGTTGTCTTGTGACTTGACTGAATCTCCAACAGGTACACCATTCGAGCCAGTGCCAATGACAACTCTGCACATAGTGGATGAGTTGTACAGTCTTATAGCAGTAGATAGAAATGAGCCATGGGGCATGATAGCCAACAATTTGGACGTCATTTTCCTCTCAGTCATCACTTCCACAGGCTCTAGGTCTAACCCAATGACAGAACATGACTAAAGATGTGACTTTATGTTCCTCAACAGTGCTGACTTCCCTGACCTTCGCAAACACAACAACTGCATGGCCGGGGCACTAACCCCGGCCATCTATGCAAAACTGAGGGACAAGATCACCCCAAACAACTGGACTCTTGACCAGTGCATTCAGACTGGTGTGGACAACCCTGGTCATCCCTTCATCAAGACAGTTGGGATGGTTGCTGGTGATGAGGAGAGCTATGAGGTACAGCCATACATTCAAACTACCTACATGCTTTTTTTAATATGACATAATATCCAACTTCTTTTCCTAAGGTAGTTTTGTTTAATCCTTGATGAAAAGACCAGCTGGTCAATGGTATATGTTGCGTTTGGGATGCTGGCTTCTTAACCAGCTTAACCAGCAAGATTTCCTTGATCATCCTGCTTCACCAGAAAGACCAAGTTAAGGGTACAACTATGTTGGTCTGCTAACTAAACCACCACTAAACAACATAAACCAGCTTGGCCAAATCTAATCTATTATTGTATAAGCTGGACTTTTCAGCAAGTTCTGGCTTTACCTCTCCTCTCTTTTCAAGTTAATGTTGTGCAAACTAATCTAGAGACAACACCATTGACTTCTTTGCCAAATGACGTTGTAGGTGTTTGCTGAAATCTTTGATCCAGTAATCAAGGACAGGCACAATGGCTATGACCCAAGGACCATGAAGCATCCCACTGACCTGGATGCCTCCAAGGTGAATGCCTGTTTTTATTTCTTCATGCAAAATGCGTTTCTCAGATTCCCATTTAATTCTATTTTCTACCAACATTTCTTGGTTGTTCTTTATCTTTCAGATCCATTCAGGCATGTTCGATGAAAAGTACGTCCTGTCCTCCCGTGTACGCACAGGCCGCAGTATCCGTGGCCTCAGCCTTCCCCCTGCCTGCAGCCGCTCTGAGCGACGTGAAGTCGAAAGGGTCACGGTCCAGGCCTTGGCTGGCCTGAAGGGAGACCTCTCTGGTCGTTACTACAGCCTGACTGAAATGACTGAACAAGAGCAGCAAAGACTTATCGACGTGAGTTGCTTCCATAAAGTTCTTTCAG